ACGTCCACCTCACCCAATTAAGGTGTCCATATATCAAATTTGAAATTTCGCTACACGTGAATGTGGAAAGTTAAGAAATTTTGCATGTGCTTATAAGAAGTTAAGCCCCATTATAAATTTGGTTTTGGAATAAAACTTCATCTTCCTTCACTTTTGCCGTGACTTTAGCTGTGAGTGAGAGAATTATGTTTAGTATTCAAACTCTCTCTCTCTCTATACTATTAAGTGTGTGTATATATATATTGTCTAGGTCTTTTCGATATTGAATATATATTTTGTCTATGTGTTTTTAATATATTTTGTGGATTAAATCCACTCAAGTAGTGCCTCCTGTTATCTGAGTTGGAGTAACTATCAATATCCCCACCACAATCGTGCTGCCTATCAAAACAAACAAGCCACTGGTCCCAAATGCCAACACCATAAAGCACACCAATCTTACGTCCTCACGATGTCGTCACCAAGATGCCCTACAGTTGCCACGTGGCGCAAGCAAAGAAGCTTCGTGACATCCTCAAGGAAAGTGTACATGAAGGAGCGACTTAAAAAAGAAAAAAGAAAAAGAAAAAATTATGTTTATTACTATTTATATGTAGAAACCATGCCTAACAAGTAACAACCAATTAGGCACACCTTGTCTTTACTTCTACCATTTTTCCACTTCCAGCTTTGTAGCTTTCTGGCAATAATGGACTGTCTTCAGAATCCAAACCCTAGCTCAGCCGGCCCTTATCACTTTGGAGAGAGCATCGATCCTTCCATGGATTTTGATGAGTTTTCAGACTATTTCATGCTTGATTATGGTGTTGATGATCATCAAGATTCTTCGTCTTTAAGTATCATGTCGCCGGAGAAGTCCATGGCTGACCGCTCTACTGGATCCAGTGGTGGTGCAACATCAAGAAATAGCAACAATAATATGTAAGTGATCCTTATATTTATTATCATTTTTTATTAATTATTATTATTATTTTTCTGAATATAATTAGCAAGGTCTATTTTATTTTGATTTTGAAACTATGAAGAAAGACTTATTTTGATTTGATTTTGTAGGAAATGCAGAAATGAGGGGAGGAGAAACAAGATAGAAATGGGTCATAGGGTTGCTTTCAGAACTAAATCGGAGCTGGAGGTTATGGATGATGGATTCAAGTGGAGGAAGTACGGAAAGAAGTCAGTCAAGAACAGCCCAAA